CCTAGGCTCTGATTGACCTAGGCTCTGATTGACCTAGGCTCTGGTTGACCTAGTCTTTGATTGACCTAGGCTCTGATTGACCTAGGCTCTGGTTGACCTAGGCTCTGGTTGACCTAGGCTCTGGTTGACCTAGGCTCTGGTTGACCTAGGCTCTGGTTGACCTAGTCTCTGATTGACCTAGGCTCTGATTGACCTAGGCTCTGGTTGACCTAGTCTCTGATTGACCTAGGCTCTGATTGACCTAGGCTCTGGTTGACCTAGTCTCTGATTGACCTAGGCTCTGATTGACCTAGGCTCTGGGTGACCTAGTCTCTGATTGACCTAGGCTCTGATTGACCTAGTCTCTGATTGACCTAGGCTCTGGTTGACCTAGTCTTTGATTGACCTAGGCTATGATTGACCTAGGCTCTGGGTGACCTAGTCTCTGATTGACCTAGGCTCTGATTGACCTAGTCTCTGATTGACCTAGGCTCTGGTTGACCTAGTCTCTGATTGACCTAGGCTCTGATTGACCTAGGCTCTGGTTGACCTAGTCTTTGATTGACCTAGGCTCTGATTGACCTAGGCTCTGGTTGACCTAGTCTCTGATTGACCTAGGCTCTGATTGACCTAGGCTATGGTTGACCTAGTCTTTGATTGACCTAGGCTCTGATTGACCTAGGCTCTGGTTGACCTAGGCTCTGGTTGACCTAGGCTCTGGTTGACCTAGGCTCTGGTTGACCTAGGCTCTGGTTGACCTAGTCTCTGATTGACCTAGGCTCTGATTGACCTAGGCTCTGGTTGACCTAGTCTCTGATTGACCTAGGCTCTGATTGACCTATGCTCTGGTTGACCTAGTCTCTGATTGACCTAGGCTCTGATTGACCTAGGCTCTGGTTGACCTAGTCTTTGATTGACCTAGGCTCTGATTGACCTAGGCTCTGGGTGACCTAGTCTCTGATTGACCTAGGCTCTGATTGACCTAGGCTCTGATTGACCTAGGCTCTGGTTGACCTAGTCTCTGATTGACCTAGGCTCTGATTGACCTAGGCTATGGTTGACCTAGCCTTTGATTGACCTAGGCTCTGATTGACCTAGGCTTTGGTTGACCTAGGCTCTGGTTGACCTAGGCTCTGGTTGACCTAGGCTCTGGTTGACCTAGGCTCTGGTTGACCTAGTCTCTGATTGACCTAGGCTCTGATTGACCTAGGCTCTGGTTGACCTAGTCTCTGATTGACCTAGGCTCTGATTGACCTAGGCTCTGATTGACCTAGGCTCTGATAGACCTAGGCTCTGATTGACCTAGGCTCTGGGTGACCTAGTCTCTGATTGACCTAGGCTCTGGTTGACCTATGCTCTGGTTGACCTAGGCTCTGATTGACCTAGGCTCTGATTGACCTAGGCTCTGGTTGACCTAGTCTCTGATTGACCTAGGCTCTGATTGACCTAGGCTCTGGTTGACCTAGTCTCTGATTGACCTAGGCTCTGATTGACCTAGGCTATGGTTGACCTAGTCTTTGATTGACCTAGGCTCTGATTGACCTAGGCTCTGGTTGACCTAGGCTCTGGTTGACCTAGGCTCTGGTTGACCTAGGCTCTGGTTGACCTAGGCTCTGGTTGACCTAGTCTCTGATTGACATAGGCTCTGATTGACCTAGGCTCTGGTTGACCTAGTCTCTGATTGACCTAGGCTCTGATTGACCTAGGCTCTGATTGACCTAGGCTCTGATTGACCTAGGCTCTGATTGACCTAGGCTCTGGGTGACCTAGTCTCTGATTGACCTAGGCTCTGGTTGACCTATGCTCTGGTTGACCTAGGCTCTGTTGACCTAGGCTTTGATTCACCTAGGCTCTGGTTGACCTAGTCTCTGATTGACCTAGGCTCTGATTGACCTAGGCTCTGGTTGACCTAGTCTCTGATTGACCTAGGCTCTGATTGACCTAGGCTCTGGTTGACCTAGTCTTTGATTGACCTAGGCTCTGATTGACCTAGGCTCTGGTTGACCTAGGCTCTGGTTGACCTAGGCTCTGGTTGACCTAGGCTCTGGTTGACCTAGGCTCTGGTTGACCTAGTTTCTGATTGACCTAGGCTCTGATTGACCTAGGCTCTGGTTGACCTAGTCTCTGATTGACCTAGGCTCTGATTGACCTAGGCTTTGGTTGACCTAGTTTTTGATTGACCTAGGCTCTGATTGACCTAGGCTCTGGTTGACCTAGGCTCTGGTTGACCTAGTCTTTGATTGACCTAGGCTCTGATTGACCTAGGCTCTGGTTGACCTAGGCTCTGGTTGACCTAGGCTCTGGTTGACCTAGGCTCTGGTTGACCTAGGCTCTGGCTGACCTAGTCTCTGATTGACCTAGGCTCTGATTGACCTAGGCTCTGGTTGACCTTGTCTCTGATTGACCTAGGCTCTGATTGACCTAGGCTCTGGTTGACCTAGTCTCTGATTGACCTAGGCTCTGATTGACCTAGGCTCCGGGTGACCTAGTCTCTGATTAACCTAGGCTCTGATTGACCTAGGCTCTGATTGACCTAGGCTCTGGTTGACCTAGTCTCTGATTGACCTAGGCTCTGATTGACCTAGGCTCTGGTTGACCTAGTCTTTGATTCACCTAGGCTCTGATTGACCTAGGCTCTGGGTGACCTAGTCTCTGATTGACCTAGGCTCTAATTGACCTAGTCTCTGATTGACCTAGGCTCTGGTTGACCTAGTCTCTGATTGACCTAGGCTCTGATTGACCTAGGCTCTGGTTGACCTAGTCTTGGATTGACCTAGGATCTGATTGACCTAGGCTCTGGTTGACCTAGGCTCTGGTTGACCTAGGCTCTGGTTGACCTAGGCTCTGGTTGACCTAGGCTCTGGTTGACCTAGTCTCTGATTGACCTAGGCTCTGATTGACCTAGGCTCTGGTTGACCTAGTCTCAGATTGACCTAGGCTCTGATTGACCTAGGCTCTGGTTGACCTAGTCTCTGATTGACCTAGGCTCTGATTGACCTAGGCTCCGGGTGACCTAGTCTCTCATTGACCTAGGCTCTGATTGACCTAGGCTCTGATTGACCTAGGCTCTGGTTGACCTAGTCTCTGATTGACCTAGGCTCTGATTGACCTAGGCTCTGGTTGACCTAGTCTTTGATTGACCTAGGCTCTGATTGACCTAGGCTCTGGGTGACCTAGTCTCTGATTGACCTAGGCTCTGATTGACCTAGGCTCTGATTGACCTAGGCTCTGGTTGACCTAGTCTCTGATTGACCTAGGCTCTGATTGACCTAGGCTATGGTTGACCTAGTCTTTGATTGACCTAGGCTCTGATTGACCTAGGCTCTGGTTGACCTAGGCTCTGGTTGACCTAGGCTCTGGTTGACCTAGGCTCTGGTTGACCTAGGCTCTGGTTGACCTAGTCTCTGATTGACCTAGGCTCTGATTGACCTAGGCTCTGGTTGACCTAGTCGCTGATTGACCTAGGCTCTGATTGACCTAGGCTCTGATTGACCTAGGCTCTGATTGACCTAGTCTCTGATTGACCTAGGCTCTTGGTGACCTAGTCTCTCATTGACCTAGGCTCTGATTGACCTATGCTCTGGTTGACCTAGTCTCTGATTGACCTAGGCTCTGATTGACCTAGGCTCTGATTGACCTAGGCTATGGTTGACCAAGTCTTTGATTGACCTAGGCTCTGATTGACCTAGGCTCTGGTTGACCTAGGCTCTGGTTGACCTAGGCTCTGGTTGACCTAGGCTCTGGTTGACCTAGGCTCTGGTTGACCTAGTCTCTGATTGACCTAGGCTCTGATTGACCTAGGCTCTGGTTGACCTAGTCTCTGATTGACCTAGGCTCTGATTGACCTAGGCTCTGGTTGACCTAGTCTCTGATTGACCTAGGCTCTGATTGACCTAGTCTCTGATTGACCTAGGCTCTGATTGACCTAGGCTCTGATTGACCTAGGCTCTGGGTGACCTAGTCTCTGATTGACCTAGGCTCTGGTTGACCTATGCTCTGGTTGACCTAGGCTCTGTTGACCTAGGCTTTGATTCACCTAGGCTCTGGTTGACCTAGTCTCTGATTGACCTAGGCTCTGATTGACCTAGGCTCTGGTTGACCTAGTCTCTGATTGACCTAGGCTCTGATTGACCTAGGCTCTGGTTGACCTAGTCTTTGATTGACCTAGGCTCTGATTGACCTAGGCTCTGGTTGACCTAGGCTCTGGTTGACCTAGGCTCTGGTTGACCTAGGCTCTGGTTGACCTAGGCTCTGGTTGACCTAGTTTCTGATTGACCTAGGCTCTGATTGACCTAGGCTCTGGTTGACCTAGTCTCTGATTGACCTAGGCTCTGATTGACCTAGGCTTTGGTTGACCTAGTTTTTGATTGACCTAGGCTCTGATTGACCTAGGCTCTGGTTGACCTAGGCTCTGGTTGACCTAGTCTTTGATTGACCTAGGCTCTGATTGACCTAGGCTCTGGTTGACCTAGGCTCTGGTTGACCTAGGCTCTGGTTGACCTAGGCTCTGGTTGACCTAGGCTCTGGCTGACCTAGTCTCTGATTGACCTAGGCTCTGATTGACCTAGGCTCTGGTTGACCTTGTCTCTGATTGACCTAGGCTCTGATTGACCTAGGCTCTGGTTGACCTAGTCTCTGATTGACCTAGGCTCTGATTGACCTAGGCTCCGGGTGACCTAGTTGTCAGATTACCATCCTCATTGTAACCTACATCAATCCTATAAGCTTAGGCTAGAGATAGCCACCCAAACTTAGTTTGGGTGTAGAACTAGGGCTAACCCTAGTTGGGGGTTGGAACTCCAACCTTGGCCCCAAGGTTGGGTTGGGATTATTGGTCCCCCCAATAATGTTGAACCAACTTGGTCAACATTATTGGTCCCCCCAACCATCCCTCAACCCAACTTATTGGTGGGGGCCAATAAGTTGGCTTGGTTCCCAACCAACCCCTCCCCCCTAGCACTACTATGTATACCACCCTCTCTCCTAATGAATTCAATGGTTCTTCCTCTCATTTTTTTCACATGGTATCAGAGCTACAACGGTTAACACCGTCTCTCGATCCTAAGAACCACACTTAACGCGTGCCGTATCACGCCCCCCCTCTCTCACTCGCGCTTAAGTTGCGCTAGTACGCCTTCACGGCCCCCCTCCCCCCTTGCACTCACGCACGTTCCCGTGCCTCCCCCGCACGAGTTACGATCGGCAGCCCGCTCCCTCCCCCCTCCCCTCTCCTCCCTCACTGCGGTGCATTCCGCCGACGAGGGCGGACGCGACCACCGCGGCGAATTCCGCCTACGAGGGCGGACGCGACCACCGCGGCGGATTCCGCCGACGAGGGCGGACGCGACCACCGCGGCGGATTCCGCCGACGAGGGCGGACGCGACCACCGCGGCGGATTTCCGCTGACGGACGCGCTACCGCAGGTGACGAGGCGCATCCGCGGACGGACGCACACCCACGGGCGACGAGGCGCATCCGCGGACGGACGCGCACCCGCGGGCGACGAGGCGCATTCCGCGGACGGACGCGCACCCGCGGGCGACGAGGCGCATCCGCGGACGGACGCGCACCCGCGGGCGACGAGGCGCATCCGCGGACGGACGCGCACCCGCGGGCGTCGAGGCGCATCCGCGGACGGACGCGCACCCGCGGGCGACGAGGCGCATCCGCGGACGGACGCGCACCCGCGGGCGTCGAGGCGCATCCGCGGACGGACGCGCACCCCGCGGGCGACGAGGCGCATCCGCGGACGGACGCGCACCCGCGGGCGTCGAGGCGCATCCCGCGGACGGACGCGCACCCGCGGGCGACGAGGCGCATCCGCGGACGGACGCGCACCCGCGGGCGTCGAGGCGCATCCGCGGACGGACGCGCAACCGCGGGCGACGAGGCGCATCCGCGGACGGACGCGCACCCGCGGGCGACGAGGCGCATCCGCGGACGGACGCGCACCCGCGGGCGACGAGGCGCATCCGCGGGCGGACGCGCACACCGCGAGCGACGAGGCGCATCCGCGGACGGACGCGCACCCGCGAACGGACGCGCACCCGCGGGCCACGAGGCGCAATCACGGGCGACACAAACGCAGCTGCGAGTAACCCGGCGCCACCATACGTTACGTGACCGCACCACCCTTCCAAGTGGTGTCGTCCTCTTTGACCGCACCCGCCCTCAAGCCGGTGTCGTCACCCCCCTCCCCTCCTCCTCCTCATGGCGGACGACTCCACTCCCATCGAGCTCGGAGCCATTGACAAGCTCGAACTTCTCCATGACACCACGGCCGTAACTGGGCGTCGTTTGAAGATACGCTTCACACACACCTTGGCTCCGTCATCATTCAAGATTATTGCCTTCTTGATGTCGTCCTCGAGCACCCTAATGGCCTCCCACCTGTACTCCCCCCCTCCCCTTGAACCTCCTCCCCCTGATGCCCCTCGTCCACACCGAGCCTCTTCCCGACCCCCCGCGTGCCCCAGTTCATGATGACAACCCGGATCGCTGGGGGGCCAACCTGAACACTTACAACAGGCTTCGCGACACCTTACACCCTCCAGCGTGAGGCGCACCGTGTTGCGGAAGCAGCACACGCTGATGCTACTGCACGCCTCCTCTCCTACGCTCAACACGAAAAAGACTATGCTGAGGAGCTTCGCAAGATCCACAAGGATGTTGCAGCATGGCGCATTGCTGATCGTCGTGCACTCGCCATCATCTTCTCCTGCATCCCCTCCCACCTCAAACGCGACCTTCGTCCCACCTCCTCCTCTGGACTCTGGAAAACCCTCTCTACTCAGTACGATCGTCAGGACCTTCGCTCCCTCCTCGCCCTCTTCCGCAAATTCCAAGACATCACCCTTGACTCCTCCCCCACTGCTGCTGCCTACACCCGTCGCCTCATTGACACTGCGCAACGCCTCAATGACCGCGGCATTGTCATCTCTGAGTCCCTTCTTACTGCACGCATCCTTGACTGCCTCCCTCCCACATATGACACCTACCGCATCACCTTCACCTCTCGCTACCGTCATCCTCCTCCTGTGGCTGACACCATCGAGTGGCTCCTTGACAGCGAAGCGGACATTCAACGTGACTCCGCCACCGTCAATGCTGTCCAGACCCGCAAAGCTACCACAGGCAACCACAACAGCGGAACAGGTGGCGGCCCAGGTGGCGCCGGTGGTGGTGGTGGTGGACGTGGTGGCGGCCGAGGCGGAGGACGCGGTGGTGGTCGCAGTGGTGGCCGTGGCGGACGCGGCGGATATCCCTCACCTTCAGGCACCCTCCCCCCGTGTCAGTACAATCATCCGCTATGGCTCCAACAAAGGTCAGCCATGCTCTCAGACCACTCACACCACGGACACGTGCTTCAAAAGCCCTCACGGACGAGTGGTTTGCACGTGGCAACGTTGGCACTCCACCTCGCTGGAACACTGTTTTCCCACGCCCCTCTATTCATGACATCCGCACCCTCCCCGCATATCAGCCCTCTACTCCCACCTTCACAATGTCCTCACTCAGCATCTCCCATCTCACATCCTTCAACAAGTTCAGCATCTTCTCCCCTCCACTCCCACCACACCCACTCCTCCCCCATCCACACCTCCGCCTCAAGCCCCTCCCCCTCACTACCCTCCACCCTATGCTGGCTGGCCTTACTCTCCTTACCCACCTCCTGGATATGGTCATGCACCTATTGGACCTGCTACCACTCCTGCTGAACCACCATCCTCCTCCTCCAACCCTCCTGGCTTTACTCCATTCCCCTCTGCTGGATTCATAGGACATGTTAGCACTCCTCCTGCTGATTCTATGTATGCACATGCTATTATGAGTCTCTCTTCCAGTACTCCGCCTTTCCTCCTCCTCTTCATGCCTTGAGTTTATCCTTGACAGTGGCGCGACACACACTGTTCTGCGTGATGCAGGCACACTGGTACCCCTCCCCACTCCCTCCACTATCCACGGAGCTGACTCCAGCTTCACCATCACAAGTAGTCACACCTCCACCCTCCCCTGTCCCATCTTCCCCTCAGTACAGTCACAGGTCTATACATCCCTCCCTACGCAACAATCTGTAGCACTGTGTGACCTCACCAGGTTCAATCTCACCGCCCTCTTCCCCGGTCATGCACGCCACTGCGACCTCTTTCAAACACCACTGGTCACTTCATCTGTCGCATTCCCCTCTGCCCTCGCACAAATCTGTACACGTAACCGCCCCCTCGCACCTCCATTCACCACCTCATCGCCCCCACCTCCCCCCTTCCCTCCCCTCACCTCCGCTCCCCCCCCCCTCCCAACCTCCTCCCCTCCCCCATCCCCTCCCCCCTCCTCCCCTCCCCTTCCCCACCCCCTTCCCACCTCCTCCTCCTCCTGTCACTGTCGTGACCTCACCCACCCCGCAGTTCTCCTTCACCACAGTTGGGTCATCCCAACTTTGCCACCCTCCGTCAAACCGTCTCC